ATCAGAAACTTTTCACACAAGGTTAATAAAAACTAGCTGTCCCTTCACTGGACAACCCAAAATCTGTGAGCTCTAATTTTGGCTCAGGTCCCCCGCCAGCATCAGCTCACACAACCATCTGTGTATAAGCTCATCCCTAATGGTGCGGCTTTTACAATTGTCTCTTCTTTGTCTTCACTCATGATACAATGTTTCTCATTGAAAGAGGGGAGTGAAAATGAGATCCAGTATGGTAACATTTGCAGACTACCACCTGCACTTATAAATAACATTAGCTTAACATTAGCTTTACTGGGGTGGTGGCTCAAAACTAAGACTACAGATAAGAAAGGCACACAAAACAAGCACTCCACATATTCCCTCTCTCCACAGGCCACTTCTCTAGGGGGCCTCTTCCCTATAGAGCTAGTCCAGACCAAACTGTCTTCTAGCTCATCTGCACTGCATCTGAGACAGGAGCCACTGTTCTGGGCTGGTGAGGGCGCTCCTGCTCACACTCCACTGCTGGCAACAGCAGGCAGAGCTGTATACAGAGCCTTAAAAAGGACAACCACCTGGATGCCAATCTTGCATCCCAATAAAACAGCCATGTTTGCAGCTTGAAGAGAGAGACACATCATCATACCCTGAATAACCATCTCGAGATTTTGTAAGAAATGCAATGTATGTGAAAAAACAAGTTATTCTGGAACCTGTATTATAAGATGGGCTCCCTGTGGGTGGTCAGGATTTGAGTCTATGGACCTAGTTATTATTTTAACATCAAAGGCCAATGGTCATGTAATTCATCTGCCAATGACAAAGAGAGAGCACTTAGAGAATTGAGAGGCCTGGCTTGAAGGACGGCAAATTCTTAACATCCTGGAATGAGATCCCATGTAGGACAGACAGACTGGCCCTGTCTTCCCAGAAGTATTTGAGTATTGGCAGTATTTACACAGATGCACTAACGCCCCAAAATCCAGTGTCATCAGTTGAAAGATCACTGGGCAGTCACAGTCAATGTGAGATACTGTGCCCATTCCTGGTTATTTTATCTACTACCAATCATACATTTTATATGTATATTAAAGAAAGGCAAATGGGGAACGAGGAAGAACTGGGTATCTGCACAGCTAAAAAGATCTGACATGTAGTTATTCTCTTGGGTGCCATGAGGTTGACATGTAATACTCATTCAACTAATCCTCCATAAACAGTTGGTCTTCCGTAATCACAGCCACTATTCCCATGTCAGTGGGCAGCAGCATTCAGAGGAAAGCCAGACCTAGCGCCTGTATAATAAACACCAGAAACCAAAAACACTAGGAAAGCTGCCGATGTCCACGCCACAGGCACGCTCTTTGACAACAACAAATGGGAGGAAAACTCCAAAGGTAAAGAGATCTGTTCCCACCCGGTACTCCTCTCCACCTTTCCAAAATTAACTCAAGTGAATGGACAGGTGATTGGTGAAAACAGCTCTAGAACAGAAGCCCCGGGCACTCGAAAGCACAGAGTTGAGAGGTAGACACTTGTACATCCAGGTCCAGGTTTGATCCCTAGCAAGCATGCACATGCACACAGAGACTCATTGTTGTCAACAGAGGGTAACAGGTTAAGAAACCATTTTTATATACTCTTAATAGACACCATCTCATTTAAATTCTCGTGGAAGTTCTAAGTCTTTGGCGTTATCACCCCATCTCACAGGAATCAAAAGGCAGGAGACTCAATAACATGCCTGAAGCCTACAGAGATCCTCCTGCCTCTGCCTCCCAGTACTGGGACTAAAGGCGTGCACCACCACCAGCTTTAGAGATTTTTTTTTAATTGTTTCTATTGCCAGGTGGTGGCACACGCCTTTAATCGCAGAACTCAGGAGGCAGAGGCAGGAGTATCTTTGTGAGTTTAAAGCCAGCCTGGTCTACAAAGTGAGTTCCAGGACAGCCAGGACTTTTACACAGAGAAACCCTGTCTCAAAAACAAAAACAATATTATTTTTATTTATGAAGCTGGAGAAGTGGCTTTGAGATTAAGGACACTTGCTGCTTTTGCTGAGAACAGGGTGGTGGCTCACAGCTGTCTGTAATTCTAGTTCTAGGTGATCCAATGCCCTCTTCCGACCTCTGCAGGTTCCAGGCATCCATGCACTGCAGACACACATTCATGCAAAACACTCATGCACACACAAAATAAAATAACCTAAAAAAAAAAAACAAAACAAAAAAAAAAAAACATAGCTGGTGGTGTCTCATGCCTTTAATCCCAGCACTCGGGAGGCAGAAGCAGGCGGATCTCTGTGAGCTCAAGGCCAGCCTGGTCTACAGAGCAAGTTCCAGGACAGCCTGGGCAGTTAGGCAGAGAAACCCTGTCTCAAAAAACCAAAAAGAATAATAATAAGAAGCCACCTGATGTGGGTGCTGGGAAGTGAACTCTGGTCACGCCAGAGCAGCAAGTGCTCTTAACCACTGAGCCATCTACCCAGGCTGTCCCACTCACCCACCTTTTTTTTAAAGGCTAAGAGCATCTGTCTCATGCAAAGAAACACCATTCAGAAACAGTAACTTTCCAGTAACTTGTCAAGAGCACCAAGCTAAGGTAGAAAACACTGTCAGGAGGGATTAGGTGCTCTAGTCACCGAAGGGCCAGCAACAGAACACAGGTCTGCTGACCCTGCTCCAAAGCCCAGTCAGTCATGGCTCTTTCGGATGCTAATGCCCTTCTGATGTTTCAAGTCATCTGAGAATAGCAAAGAAGCAAGTTAATAACCCAATAGAAGAAAAATGTGGGAAAGCATCTAGGTTACAAGAATTTTCTATAAAAAGGTTCATAACCATAAGATTTTTATCAAGGAAGCTCTGGAATACTGGCACCTTCAAAATTCCTCATCTTCTGCAGCAAAAATGAAATGCGACCTTTGCCCTCCCTCTCACTGGGCTGTAATGATTAGCCTGGCTAGGTCGATAGCTAAGGAAAATACAAGACAAGCCTCGCCCCGCTGATTAGAACAATCACAGATTTGCCCCACTATCAAGCTCCTCCCATGCAATCAGATGATGAGTGGGACCCAAGGGTACTTGCAGGGGTCCTCCAAGGCTGCAGAGCAAGTCTGCTGTCCTCTAGTGAAACCAGGAAGGAACAGTGTAGAGAAGAGAAGACAGCCATAACAGAGAAGGAAAATGTCTCTGGAATGATGACCAGAAAAATCACCTCACAGGACTGGCCTGCCAGAGCAGCCTGAGGGGAGAAGCTGTCACTGAATCAGCCATTTGATAAGGGCAACCAAGAAGAGAACAGATTAGACTAGGAGAATCTGACTTTCTAATTAGGAAAACAGGTGAGCAACTCAGCAAGAGGTTAAAGGTCAGTCAGGTCTGTTTCACCTAAGGAGATAAAACTGTCTGGTGTTTCCAATGTTGACTAGCAAGCACAAGACCCTGAGTTGACCCCAGCACCAACTCCCACCCCTTTGTAAGGTTTTGGGTTAATTCTAGAGTGTACTACTTTTTTTTCAAAGCATCAAGATAAAATGATTGTCAAGATTTCTTTTATCAGATCTTTACGCTTTGCAACTTTCAGCAGATAAAAGGGACAGATAAAAGCTAAGGGCAGGAAGGCTGAGAAAATAGCTAAAGGCCCAATCCCAGCACCTGTAACCAAAAAGATGTGAGCTGACAGGTTAAGATTGGGCTGTCAACTTCAAGCCCATCCACTCCCTAACTCTTTTCCCAAACAAAACTGCTACATTTGAGTCAGGCTACTTTAATTTTTAAAACTATGTAATAAATTTAGAAAAAACATGAAATCCCTAGAAAACTTAAGGAAGATCCTACATCACTGCTGCTCTTCATTAGCAAAATCTCTTCCAAACCTCTTCTAGAAAGAGTGAGAAATGCAGATCACTTCCACATAAAATACATTAAAATAATGCCTACCCATAGTTTGGGTTTTTCAAAGGTATTCTGAAGGCCCATCTCAGCACATTTAGATGCACAATAATGATTCAGTTTTAATTTAGTTACCACTGACTGGAGTCATCAGTTTACTGGGATATACTTGGAATCTCAGAACCTTTCTTCCTGTTAATAACAGTTATCAGGAGCCTACATGTACTCTACATTGTGTGCCCAGAAAAACTTCATTTTTAAAAGAGGAAATCAGTGAGCAATATATATATATATATATATATATTTGTTATATATATATAACAAAACCCTAACACCCACTAGACTAATGGATTCACCCCTCTCTTCCCAAAAGCCCAAGTGTGGCCAGATTAAGTATCAATCACAACCTTCCCCCTCCCAGGTCGGAGGTACTTCCGGTTACTAGGTCAAGCCTGAAGCCACCAGCCTGGTGAGGTGGGTGGTCCTCCCCCACCTTCCAGGAGGCAGGAATTCCAGGTACAGAGCCTGGGCCTAACAGCTTGCCTTCAGGGAACTCTTCACTACAAGTTCATCAGGAGCCTCAGCTTTTGAAACAGCAAAGGCATTTTTTAAAGCTCCCATTAAGCAACTAATAAAAACCGTTTTTCACCACAAAGTGCAAACATTTAAAGCTGGGATAGCAAAGATTTAAAAGTATTTTTCTAAAACACAGCAACATTAAATAAGGGGGGGGGTCCCAGTAGAATTCCATAAACCTCTCAATTCTATCCTCTGGCTTGGTCGATGACTTTTGATAATTACCAAATCCAAAGTAGCGATAAAATACCATTTCCTATTCCAGCCACTGGATTTAAAATTAGATGTGACTCTCCAGCGGTCCCTTCCCCCAGCTAACTCTGTTCTTCCAGTTACAAAGCGTTCTTCAGGAGGATAAGCACAATATGTCACTCTGCTATCTGAAAACCACCAGCTGAAGGAGTCGAGGAAGCAGAGCGCACGGAATCTGAAGGCAGCCTGAGTCGGGCACAGCGCGGGGTTAAAGGAACCATTTCCTAAGCTCAGATGCGGAGAAGCAGCATGAGCAGAGCAAAGAGGAAAAAGCCAAGTTACATAAAGTCCGATTGTACTCACGGTTTCCTTATTGGGAAGCAGCTCCTTTCTGATTCTGAAGAAGTTCTTGCCGTACTGCCGGAGCCCCTTAACGAAGCGTTTCTGTGATAAAAAAGAAACAAGTGAGACGTAAAAACCAAAACCAAAACAGGATGTCAGCAAAGCAAAGATATCTGCAATCAGCAGAATAGCAACCGCAGAAAACTCTGAGCTCGGGAATATTAGCCAGGCTGGAGGCTCTCCGCGGCACAGCTGGGACCTGCTGGCAGGGCAGGGCAGGGCAGCCCCCGGCCTGCGGGGGACCACAGCAGTGCTGCACCGCGCATTTCGGGCAAGGCAAGCAGAGCTAGGGCGGCCTCCTGACACCATGGGCTGCACGAAGGTGCAAACAACAAACAGCCCGCTTTCCACCCGCGGAAGCGGCTGCCTTCGCAGAAGTGTCTCGGGCAGCTCCGGCCCTCGTCCCCTTCCCTGACCACGAAAGCCCACCCGAAGCCCGCAGCCCCGAGCCCCGGAGCCCCGGAGCCTCTAGGGTCGAGCCCCCGGCCCGCCCGGTCCGAAGACTTTCACTTCGGTCAGCTCCACCAGCCGCCCCCA